CAATTTTCAGTTTAATTTTAACACTTAAGAATAACTGTGTATTAATTACAGAATTAAACCAGTAGTATTAAGTAGAACAGACAAAAAAAATATTAAGAGGGATAATGTATTAAGTTGTTCATTAACAGTCAGGGCTATGCTGATCAAGTCACCGTTTCTCATAGTGTCCATTCCACTTCAACAGGTTTCCTTTTTGGTGTTCAGTCAGTTGTCACCGATCAGGGAGAACATATGGTATTTGTCCCTTTGGGACTGGCTTATTTCACTCAGCATGATGTGTTCCAGATTCCTCCATGTTGTTGCAAATGACTGGATTTCATTGTTTTTTACTGCGGTATAATATTCTAAAGAGTACATATCCCATAATTTCTTTATCCAGTCTACCGTTGATGGGCATTTAGGTCGGTTCCAGGTCTTGGCTATTGTGAATTGAGCTGCAATAAACATTAGGGTACAGACCACTTTTTTGTTTGCCAATTTAAATTCCTTTGGGTAAATTCCAAGGAGTGGGATGGCTGGGTCAAACAGTAGGGTTTATCTTCAGGTTTCTGAGGAATCTCCAGACTGACTTCTATAGTGGCTTGACCAGTTTGCATTCCCACCAACAATGGGTTAGTGTCCCTTTTTCAATGCGGGACTTTAACACCACACATTCATCAATGGACAAATCAACTAGACAGAAAATCAACATAGAAACAATAGCTAATCTGGACTATGAACCAAATGGAACAGATAGCTACAGAACATTTTTTCCCTCAAGTTGCAGAATACACATTCTTCTCATCAGTGCATGGAACTTTCTCTCTAGTATAGTCTATAGGCTAGGCCATAAAACAAGTCTCAGCAAATTTAGAAAAATCTAAATCATACCATGCATCTTCCTGGACCACAATGGAATGAAGCTGGAAATCAACAACTCAAGAATCTCTAGAACATATGCAAAAAACATGCAGACTGAAAAACTTGCTGCTGAATAAACAGTGAGTCATAGAATAAATCAAAAGGGAAATAAAAAAATTTCTGTAAATGAATAAAGATAACAATATAGCATATCTAAACTCATAGCATGCAGAAAAAGCAGTGTTAAGAGGGAAGTTTATAGTAATTGCTGCCTATGTCAAGAAATTGTTAAGACAGCAAATAAATGATCAATGTATCTCTATGATCAAGAAAACACCAGGCCGGCACCATGGCTGACTTGGCTAATCCTCCACCTGTGACACCAGCACCCCAGGTTCCAGTCCCAGTTGGGGTGCTGGGTACTACTCCCAGTTGCTCCTCTTCCAGTCCAGCTCTCTGCTGTGGCCTGAGAGGGCAGCGGAGGATGGCCCAAGTGCTTGGGTCCCTGCACCCGCATGGGAGACCGGGAGGAAGTACCCAGCTTCTGGCTTCAGTTCGGCGCAGTACGCTGGCCATAGTAGCCATTAGGGGAGTGAACCAATGGAAGGACAACCTTTCTGTCTCTGTCTCACTGTCTATAACTCTCTCTCTCTCTCTGTCTGTCACTGTCTAACTCTGCCTGGCAAAAATTTTAAAAAAAATTTTTTTAAAAAGAAAAAGAAAACACCACCACATGAAACCCAAAATTAGTAGGGAAGGAAAGGAATAACTAAAATTAGAGATGAAATAAACAAAATTGAAACAAAAAATACAAAAGGTCAGTGCCTTGAAGAGCTGGTTTTTTGATCAACAAAATTGATAAAACATTGGCCCAACAAACCAAAAAAGAGGGAAACAACCCAAATTAATCAAATCCGAGATGAAAAAGGAGATATAAGATAGGATCCACAGAAATAAAAATAATTCAAGAATTACTACAAATAGCTATATGACAAAAAAATTGGAAAAACTGGAAGATACTGGTAGATTCTTGGACACAAGATACCAAAACTGAGGCACAAAAACATTGATAATCTAAAGATGTCAATAAACAAGATGGAAATTTCAACAGTAATAAAGATTCTTCCAATAAATTAAAGTGCAGGAAAAGATGTTCTCACTGCTGATTCTACTAGACTTTTTTTTTTTTTTTTTGACAGGCAGAGTGGACAGTGAGAGAGAGAGACAGAGAGAAAGTCTTCTTTTGCCATTGGTTCACCCTCCAATGGCCACCACGGCCAGCGCACCGTGCTGATCCAATGGCAGGAGCCAGGTACTTATCCTGGTCTCCCATGGGGTGCAGGGCCCAAGCACTTGGGCCTTCCTCCACTAGACTACTAGAACCCAGTGTGCTGGTGCCGCAAGGCGGAGGATTAGCCTAGTGAGCCATGGTGCTGGCCTCTACTAAACTTTTAAAGAACTAATTGCAATTCTTCAAAAGCTTTTCAAAACAACTGAAAGAGAATAAATCCTTCCAAACTCCTACTATGAGGTCAGCATCACCTTAATTCCAAAACCCGAAAAAGACACAAAGAAAGAGAACTACAGACCCAATATCACTGATTAACACGGATTCAAAATCCTTAACAAAATACTAGCTAATCAAATCCAACAATACATCAGAGAGACCATTCACCTGGACCTAGTAGAAGTTCCCCTGGTATGCAGGGATGGCACAACATACTAAAGTCAGTAACTGTGAGACATAACACTAAGAAATTGAAGATGTCAAGACATATTACAGGGCAGTAACAATCAAAACAGCCTGGTAATGACAGAAAAAGACATGTATACCAATGGAACAGGATAAAATCCCAAAAATCAATTCATACATTGACAATGAAATAATCTTTGACAGGCAGCTAAAATCAATTCCCAGATAAAGGACAGTCTCTTCAACAAATGGTGGTGGGAAAATTGGATCTCCGCATGTAGTAGTTATGAAACAAGACCCCTACCTTTCACTTTATACAAAAATCAAATCAAAATGGATCATGGAACCAAATCTACAACTGGGTACCATCAAGTAACTAGAGAAGAACTTTGAGGAAACTATGCAAGACATAGAAAACACTTCTTGGACATGACTTCAGAACCACAGGCATTCAAAACCAAAATTGACATATGGATTACATCAAACTGACAAGCTTCTGCACTGCAAAGGAAACATGCAGCAATGTGAAGAAACAGCAAACAAAATGGGAGAAAATATTTGCATACTATGCAACTGATAAAGGGCTAATATCCAGAATATATAAAGAGCTCAAGAAAATCAACAACAAAACAATCCAATTAAGAAATAGGCAAAGGAAATCATATGGCTAACAGAAACATGAAAAACATGATCAGGATCACAGCCATCAGGGAAATGCAAATCAAAACTATGAGTTTCACTTCACCCCAGTTAAAATGGCTTTTATACAGAACTCAAAAATCAATAAATGCTGGTGAGCATATAGGTAAAAAGGTACCCTAATCCACTATTGGTAGGAGTGTAACTGATGCAGCCATTGTGGAAGACAGAATGGAGATATCTCAGAAAGCTTAAAATAGATCTACCACATGACCCAACAATCTCACTCCTGGGAATTTACCCAAACAAAATGAAGTCACCCTATGAAAGAATTATTTGTACCCCCATGTTTTTTGCAGCTCAATACACAATAGCAAAGATATGAAATCAAGCTTGATGTCCATCAACTGATGACTAAAGAAATTATGACTTCTATATATCTTACATATTATACATTATATATTTACATATATATATAAAAGTACTACTCAGCCACACAAAAAAATGAAATTCTGTCTTTCACAACAAAATGGATACAACTAGAAATCATTATATTTAGTGCAATAAGCCAATCCCCAAAAGACAAATACTATGTTTTCCTTGATCTGTAGTAACTAATTGAGTATGAAAAATGTAATGTATAGGATTGCAATGGGCATTTTGAGATTTGATATTGTTTATAGCCTTTGTCTTAACTGTTGAGAACAGTGCTTTTTTCTTCTATTTGTTTAACTCTTTACTTACTGTAGAGTTAACCCTATGAGTATATAGTAAACAATAGATCACTGTATAAATTAAGAGAGGGAATGAGAGAGGAAGAAGGAGGAAGGGTGTAGTATGGGGAAGGTGATAGTAGGGGTAGAGTGAGAAACATCACTATGTTCCCAAATCTGTATATATGAAATGCATTAAATCTGTTTACCTTAAATTAAAAATTTAAATAATTTTATACCATTATAGTTCTAATGAGCTACGATTACTTTAATTTACTTTATATGGGTGAAATGCTCATCTTTCCATTTGATTATTGCTTATAGCACTTGCCTTTATTACCACTGAACTAGAGTCTTGTTGCTTGTTGCTTTCTTTATTTTGTGAACCATTATGTCCTGGAACATAATTGTAATTTAAAATGTTTTAACTCAAAAATTAAATTAGAAAGGAGGAGCAATGAAGGAAGGAAGGAGAAATAGAGAGGGAGAGAGGGAGGGAAGAAGGTAATTTATATTCTTAGAATTTTATCTATGAACTACATTAAATCTGTTCTCTTTTTATTAACATAAAAAAATAAAGCATCAGGAAAACATCATGGGCCAGACAGATGTAGGGATCAGAGAACAGGAATGGAAGGGATCCAAGTATCTGAACCATCACCTGCTGCCTCCCAGGGTGCAAACTGGCAGGAAGCCAGAACTGGGAGTGGAGTTGGGTCTCAAATCCAAGCATTCCTATATGAGACATGGGCAACCCAAGTGGTGTCTTAACTGCTAGGCTAAGCACATGCCCTTAATTTTTACTATTACTTTTATTATTCTCCAGATAATCAGTTTATATTTAAAGAGATATAGTCCAAATTTAAAGTTTTGCATCTTTCAAAAACAATTTGTGTTTATATAAAAAAATTAACATTTTTGGTATTTAGTATAATTTATTTTCTAAAATAAAAAGCAAATTTTACAAATTTTCTTATATATCAAGTTTTTCAATACATATCACATGCATGGATATATGTCTTAGAATATTAACAATTTTAATTGTAAGAAATTTCTGCTATTTCATGTCTTCTCTCTTTAGAAACCACTCTCACTATAGGTCAATGTTCATTTACCTTGAAGTAGCCTTCTTCAGCAGCTTTTTAATCTCATTTATTTTACAGGTGTGCTTCTGATGGATAACCACAAATGCATTACAACCATCTGGTGGTGGTTCCTCAGCTGCAATCTAAGATTTTCACAAGATTCTATTTAGCTACAGTAGTTGATATTCGCAATATTATTTTAAAAATTCACATTACTTTCATTAAAATATCTCATTAGTTACTATTAAGTTGTCAGCCTAATTAATGTAAAAGGCATCTCTAATAGAAAGAATCCAAGAAAAATTTGAACAAAATCAACTTCATCCCAGGAAATGAATAAAGTTACTGAAAAAAAAAAACTATTAAACTTTACATTATATTTCAATGGTTAACTTCATAATTTCCTTATCTCAAGTAACTACAAAATTACTTAAATAGTCAATGACATTATATTCAATTATCACCAGTGATAGACTATGGAACCACATATAGGTTTGTAGGTCATTATTTTAAACCAAATATGTTCACATTAAATAGCTCTGTGTACATAGGTACCATACTTCTTTGTCAAATGCAGGTTGGGTATTTTTACGTACCTGTTGAAACATCTGAATAGTCGGAGAGTATGCCCTTATAGATAAAGCAAACTTTAATAGATTGATGTGTAAATTGTCTAAAAACTGTCCCGCTTTCTTCAAGATTAAGTTGTAGTAAGAATAATCTGATTCTATGAAAAGAAATTTTTAAAAAGATGTTAGTATTTTAAATCCAACACATGGACAAACCCTCACTGTAAAGCTAACTTAATCACTGTCATAATCAATCACAACTCAACTTTGGTTATAGATGCTGTTAGAAACAAATGGAAAAAAAAGTCAAGATCTCTGTTCTATTAGTAACTTTATTTTGGGTCTTCCAGCGATGTCCACATAATCAACATAAGACTAGGTGAAAACAATCTTAATATTAAAAAGTCTATTAAGAAGATATCAACAACTAAGATCAATCCACTCCAAGGTCATCAAGTTGTAATACAAGAATAAATTATAGGTCCTACCTAAAATCTAAGAGATTTAGAATAGCAAATTTTAAAAAACATGATTGCTAATGAATTTTAAGTTTTTTTTTTTTTTTCTTTCTTTTTTTTTTTTTTTTTTTTGGACAGGCAGAGTGGACAGTGAGACAGAGAGACAGAGAGAAAGGTCTTCCTTTGCCGTTAGTTCACCCTCCAATGGCCGCCGCGGCTGGCGCACTGCGGCCGGTGCACTGCGCTGATCCGATGGCAGGAGCCAGGTGCTTCTCCTGGTCTCCTATGGGGTGCAGGGCCCAAGCACTTGGGCCACCCTCTACTGCACTCCCTGGCCACAGCAGAGAGCTGGCCTGGAAGAGGGGCAACAGGGACACAATCAGGCGCCCTGACTGGGACTAGATCCCGGTGTGCCGGCGCCGCAAGGCGGAGGATTAGCCTAGTGAACCGTGGTGCCGGCCATGAATTTTAAAGTATGTATCTCAATAAATTCTACTTAGAGTCAGTCAGTGTAGACAACCAAGTGTAATCGGTGTATCCAAAATATTTCAGGAGACAGAATTTGAACCAGACCTTCAAGAGTATCACCTTGTCTGAAGCTGTAACTAATTTGAGCTGCTTGGTCTATCACTGGAATCCATCTTCAAAGATCCCAGACACCAAAGTGAATGATGGTTCGTAGAATTCAATTTTAAAACTTTGTACCACCCCTGGGGACACAGAGATCATTTGAATGGGAGAGGGCAGAAAAGAAAGGCAGCCAATAGCTGATAAGGTCCCAGGGGCTTTACTGTGGATAAGCAAGGAGACAACTTTCTCTCTTGCCCTCTTATTTCCCTACACTGACCTGGGTGTAATCATTATCTGCATTGTTTCCACTGTGCAGGGCCAACTCCAGGATGGTGTAGTTACCACCTGACAGCTCTGGAATCCATTCAGTACAAGTATACATAGGATGGCTTCAATATTCTCTAGTAATTTCTTCACTCCCCTTTTTTTGGTACTGGGTTACCAACTGAAAGAAATTTCTAATCGAAGAGCAGAGTTGGTGTAAATACATAGTTCCCTATGGATCAGAGCTCCCTGATGTGAAAAGGGATGTTAAAAGGGTGTGGTTGAAACCAGGTTTTAATAACAGATACTCCTTATGAAAGGGTGAAAAGGGGATTCTTTGAGTTAGAGGATACACTCAAGGGATGGTGTGGGAGACTGGATTATTTGCTGTGATAACGTTATATTATTTGTTCCAAAAATGTTGACTCTAGACCTTCATTCAATCTCCAACCCTTCCGAGTTCTTGACAAAAATCTTAGTAATGGATGACAAAAAAACCCACAAAAGAATGTAAAAAAATAAAAGTTCTAATCCCCCTACACAAAAGAACTAGAAAGAAAAATACTAGAAAACGTAGACTAAATTAGATGTGACAAGAGATTTAAAAAGACACCTAAACAGAATAAGAGAAATAAGGACTACACGGGAGGAAAGTGAGAAAAAAGGAAAAAAGGGGGTGGAGACATTTGAGAGTCAATGAGAAAATTCAGGCAAAGGAGATATACAATAACATACTTTAAGACCCATAAGCAGAAATTCAAAAGAACAAAGTGAGTAAAGGAAATGATAATAAAATTTTTACTTCTAGAACTATTACTAAAAGTAACAAATCCATACATCTAACAAAAAGACACAATGGTTGGCACTATAACATTATCTAGTCAAACTATGGGTCTTTAAAGTTAAATTGGAAGTATAAACTTCACAAATAAATAGCTGGAATATGAAGGCCTCAAGAGCCATCATTCCAAGAGGTATTCATGTGGCATCAACCAGGGAGCAAACTTTACATAACCAAGAAGTAACAGGAGAAACTCCATTATAAGTCTGATAGTGAGATCTAAATATATTTAACGGTAGAAATAAGACTAACTTAAGGGATTAAGAATGACAGAAGACTATGTAAATGTTGTATGCTCTGAGAATTCAGAAAAATATACCACTAACAAAAATGCAACCAAGAGGAAAGTAAGAGGAAATAAAACAAGCTCAGTTATTCCTCAACAAATATTGGCCAACTGTAAAAGGTTATCATTGAATACAACAAAGCAAGTAGTAGAAACTTGTCTAAGAATAACAAAGATAAAGAATAATTATAAACAAAAATCAAGAGCCATTCCATTAATACCTACAGTAGGGTATCAAAACACAGTATCTAAACAAAGAAATCAAGGACTCAGGGCCTTCACCTATGTTATTCCTTTGGTCTAAAATTCAGGAGAATAGGAGAGATGCAGCATGTTTAGCCAAGTCCTCATTCATGAAATCTCTGCTTAAATGTCATTTGTTTTAGAATGATTTTTTTTTCCTGATATCACAAGCTTAGCTCCTATTATACACTCTGAAAGGGCTCTCTATGCTGTCTTCAGAACAATTCTAAAACTATAATTAAAAATTATTTGTATAATTCTTTCATTCCATCCTTCCCATCAGTCTATAAGCTGTGAAGGCATGGATCCTTTCTAGTCTTTCAAATGAATATTTCCACTTCTAGCACACAAAACAGTCATTCAACAAATTTGTAAAATTAATGTTTAATAAATGATCAATTTATTCTAGACAATAAATTTTCCTAATCCAGTAACTTTATTTTAAAATTTTATCTCTTTATTGGAGAGAGGATGAGAAAGGAAAAAAGTATTTGAGTGCTCCCATCTGCTGCTTCAATCCACAACAGCCAGGGCTAGGTCAGGATTAAATATGGGAACTCAATACACATCCCACATAGATGGCAAAAACCCATTTACTTAAGCCATCACTGCCACCTCACACAGTCTACATTGGCAGGAAGCTGAAATCTGCAGCCAGATCCAGAAATCAAACCCAGGCACTCTGATGTGGTAATGCAGGAATCTTAACCAGTTTCTCAACCACTAGGCCAAATACCCACCCCCTAATTCATTAATTTTAAATAGCTGACTTATGAGAATGGGTAGAGTCTTTCTGTCCTACCTCTTTATTAAACTATAGGTGACTTTTCAGAATTTGGTTTTTTCCCAAGTATCAAAAAACAATACTAGTATGCCTCCGCAATCAAAGCAACACAAAACAGTTCAGAGATATCTTTAAAAATATATTTAAAAAACATAGTAGCCACAGGACAATAACTCCAATTAATGTAATAATAGAACTAAAATATGATTACATCAGCTAAAAGGGAATTGGTCACCTATGGAAACACAAATCAACAGAAATTAACATAAAGTAGTATCTGACAAGGTGTCCAATTTTGTCAAAGTCATTGTCAAACTTGTCCCTAATGCAGTAATGGACACAGAATTCAAAAATTTATAGAATAAGCTTCCGTAATTTAGGTGTAACTAGCAAGACCATCTCTATTGCAAAATGATGTGTTGGGCTATTTTAGCTGATGTTTTTAAATAACAAATACATGCCTACCAAATAATGGATAGTTATTTTGTCTTTTCAACATCTTATTCCTTTATCTTCAACCTAATGTTTTACTTTATTTTTGTTCACTGACACAACAATACAAAAGGGACAAATACCTTGTTCTCCCTGATAGGTGACAACTAAGTGAGCACCAAAAAGGAAACCTGTTAAAGTGAAATGAACACTAGGAGAAACGGTGACTTGATCAGCCCTCACCCTGACAGTTGATGAGCAACTTAATATGTTATCCCTCCTTAGTATTTTTGTTTGTTTGTTTGTTCTACTTCATACTTTTGGTTGAATACTATAATCAATACACAATTATTCTTAAGTTCTGAAACTTAACTGAAAAGTGATCGCTGTTAAATATAAGAGTGGGAATAAGAGAGGGAAGAGATGCGCAATTCGGGACATGCTCAAGCTGACTTGCCTCAAACGGTAGATTTAGAAACATACCAGGGGATTCCAATTCAATCCCATCAAGGTGGCATGTACCAATGCCATGTCACTAGTCCAAGTGATCAATTTCTGTTCACAACTGATCATAATGATAGGACTAAGAACCAAAGGGATCACATAAACAAGAATAGTGTCTGCAAATACTAGCTGATAGAATAAAAAAGGGAGAGAATGATCCAACATGGGAAGTGAGATACACAGCAGACCCACAGAATGGCAGATGTCCTAACAGCACTCTGGCCTCAGAATCAGCCCTAAAGGCATTCAGATTCGGCTGAAAAGCCCACGAGAGTATTTCAGGCATGGAAAGCCAAGACACTCTGGGGGAAAAAAAACAAAACCTAAATGAAAGATCTCCGCGAGTGAGATCCCAGTGGAAAGAACGGGTCATCAAAGAAGGAGGTACCTTTCTCTGAAGGGAGGAGAGAACTTCCACTTTGACCATGGCCTTGTCTAAATATGATCAGAGTCGGTGAACTCAGGGGGCTTCCATAGCCTTGGCAGCTCATGACAAGAGCCTAGGGTGATTACTGATGCCATAAACAAGAGTGTCAATTTGTTAAGTCAACAACAGGAGTCACTGTGCACTTACTCCTCATGTAGGATCTCTGTCCTTAGTGTGCTGTACATTGAGATTTAATGCTATAACTAGTACTCAAACAGTATTTTTCACTTTATGTTTCTGTGTGGGAGCAAACTGTTGAAATCTTTACTTAATGTATGCTAAACTGATCTTCTGTATATAACGAGAATCGAAAATGAATCATGATGTGAATGGAAGGGGAGAGGGAGTG